AGATGAAAGTCTTTTATAGGACCTATGGTTCTCAAAATCAAGTATCGACAAACCTAGCCCTTGCCTATGCTTTTGCGGGGCAAGAATTCGTCAAGTTCGATCAACAGGATTAAGAAATTCTAAGTATTTTTTTGTTGATCAGGCGACACCCAGATTCGAACCGGGGATAAAGGATTTGCAGTCCCCCGCCTTACCACTTGGCCATGCCGCCAAATTACATCCAAAACAGAGAAATAAATGAAGAAGAATAAAGAAGAAAGAAATTCTATAATAAATTCTATAAGATTCTATTCTAAATTAATTCTATTCTGAATTAGATTAAATTCTATAAAATTCTAGAATCTAATTCTAGAATCTATTAGAATCTAGAATATAATATAATATATCTATTATATAAGAATATTCTTATACTTAGATATTCTATTTTATTCTCTTTTTATTCCTCTCCTCATTTTGGTTTTGATTTGAATTTTTTACTTTCTTAATTTATTTTATTTTTGGATCTTAAATCCCATTGTACTTATCCTTTTCCAAAAAAAATTACTCTTTTTTATTGGATCCGATTTATATTCTTTTCTTCGATTAATTTTATCTCAAAACACGCGTCGCTTAAAAACTTATCTTCTCTTTTCACTTTTCTATAGATTTGATAGATCTATAGAAAAGTGAAAAGATTCCCGGCCCGGTCACAGACTGTAAAATGCAGGGCAATTTCGAATAAATTACTCTTTACTCCAAATTACTCTTTACTCCATTAACTATTTAATATTTAATTATTACTCTTTTACTCTTACTTACTTTTCTTACTTTGAATTAGCGAACAGCTCTTAATTTTGTATCTCCTTATCTTAATGGATGCAAAATCCAATTGATTTCCGACTAATCATTATCAATTACATGATCAATTCTAATTATCTAATTATAAGAAAATCTATGTGTATATGTAAACCCCAGAAAAGTGTAAACTCTAGAAAAGAAATTGTTATACGTGGATACCAAGCCGGGTCTCTTTCTTATGCACATATCCCTAGATAGGATCATCGTGCTTGAATATTTCATTAAATATGAATATGAAGATAGAGATTATGATAGAGTACGACCTTGCACCAAGTTCAATTCTTATAAAAGATGTGATATACGGATAGCTAGATAGCTATATCGTCATGTACTTCCTAAAGATTACTCCTATGACTATATACGTACGCAATTCCATTGTATTTTCTAAATTTTACTACCAGAAAAAGATTTGCGAATTCCTTTTTGAACATTCAATTGCGTGTGCTAAAAAAAAGGGAAACTCTATGCTGTTCCTGATTCTTCTGTTTTTATCTCATTCATAGAGAGCAGATTAAATCCTAAACTCATTGATTTTTTTTTTTTACGCTGATCATAATATCATCATTAATATCATAATAAAAGAATTAGGTATTAAGTCTAAATTGGATCAATTTTTATATCCGATAAAAGACTCCATCAGCCTAAGTGACAGAATTTTTCCCAGGAATGCTTTCTTAATTTCCATTTCTTTCTATTTGTACCTGTCTCAAGATCAAATTCGAACTTGCATCGAAAATGCCCTTCATTTCTCTGTCTTGCTTTCGTTCATACGATATATATGGATGGGGTTGACTAAAATTTTATGTGATTCAGTAAACAGAATATCCATTCCCTCATTGCTAGATCAATTGGTAGGGTTCGATGAATAGTGAGCCAAAAGCCGATAATGGGATTTTTTCAATAAAGAGGAAACTTCAGATTAAGATGCTCCAGAATGGAAATGAGGGAATGTCCACAATACCTGGATTTAGTCAGATACAATTTGAGGGATTTTGTAGGTTCATTAATCAGGGCTTGACGGAAGAATTTCATAAGTTTCAAAAAATTGAAGATAGAGATCAAGAAATTGAATTTCAATTATTTGTGGAAACATATCAATTGGTAGAGCCCTTGATAACAGAAAGAGATGCTGTGTATGAATCACTCACATATTCTTCTGAATTATATGTACCCGCGGTCTTAATTTGGAAAACCGGTAGAAATATGCAAGAACAAACCGTTTTTATTGGAAACATCCCTATAATGAATTCTTTTGGAACCTCTATAGTAAATGGAATATACCGAATTGTGATCAACCAAATATTGCAAAGTCCCGGTATTTACTATCGTTCAGAATTGGAACATAACGGAGTTTCTGTCTATACCAGTACTATAATATCGGATTGGGGGGGAAGGTCGGAATTAGAAATTGATAGAAAAGCAAGGATATGGGCCCGTGTAAGTAGAAAACAAAAAATATCTATTCTAGTTCTATCATCAGCTATGGGTTCGAATATAAGAGAAATTTTAGATAATGTTTGTTACCCTGAGATTTTCTTGTCTTTCCCGAATGATAAAGAGAAAAAAAAGATTGGGTCAAAAGAAAATGCTATTTTGGAGTTTTATCAACAATTTGCCTGTGTAGGGGGGGATCCAGTATTTTCTGAGTCCTTATGCAAGGAATTACAAAAGAAATTTTTTCAACAGAGATGTGAGTTAGGAAAGATTGGTCGACAAAATCTAAACCGGAGACTTAATCTTGATATACCCCAAAACAATACATTTTTGTTACCACGAGATTTATTGGCTGCTGTGGATCATTTGATCGGAATGAAATTGGGAATGGGTACACTTGACGATATGAGTCACTTGAAAAATAAACGTATTCGTTCTGTAGCAGATCTATTACAGGATCAATTTGGATTAGCTCTTGTTCGTTTAGAAAATACGGTTCGAGGAACTATATGTGGAGCAATCAGGCATAAATTGATACCGACTCCTCAAAATTTGGTAACTTCAACTTCATTAACAACTACTTATGAATCGTTTTTTGGCTTACACCCTTTATCTCAAGTTTTGGATCGAACTAATCCGTTGACACAAATTGTTCATGGGCGAAAATGGAGTTATTTGGGTCCTGGAGGATTGACGGGGCGAACTGCTAGTTTTCGAATACGAGATATCCACCCGAGTCACTATGGACGTATTTGTCCAATTGACACGTCCGAAGGAATCAATGTTGGACTTATGGGATCATTAGCTATTCATGTGAAGGTTGGTTATTGGGGATCTATAGAGAGTCCATTTTATGGATTATCTGAGAGATCAAAAGAGGCACAGATGGTTTATTTATCACCAAATAGAGATGAATATTATATGGTAGCAGCAGGAAATTCTTTGGCCTTGAATCGGGATATTCAAGAACAACAGGTTGTTCCAGCTCGATATCGTCAAGAATTCCTGACTATTGCATGGGAAGAGATTCATCTTAGAAGCATTTTTCCCTTCCAATATTTTTCTATTGGAGCTTCCCTCATTCCTTTTATTGAGCATAATGATGCGAATCGAGCTTTAATGAGTTCTAATATGCAGCGCCAAGCAGTTCCCCTTTCTCGGTCCGAGAAGTGCATTGTTGGAACTGGGTTGGAAGGACAAACGGCTCTAGATTCGGGGGTTTCAGTTATAGCCGAATGCAAGGGAAAAATCATTTATACTGATACTCAAAAGATCATTTTATCAAGTAATGGGGATACTCTAAGCATTCCATTGGTTATGTATCAACGTTCCAACAAAAATACTTGTATGAATCAAAAAACTCAGGTTCAGCGGGGTAAATACATTAAAAAGGGACAAATTCTAGCGGGTGGTGCGGCTACAGCTGGTGGGGAACTCGCTTTAGGAAAAAATGTATTAGTAGCTTATATGCCATGGGAAGGTTACAATTTTGAAGACGCAGTACTAATTAGCGAACGTCTGGTTTATAAAGATATTTATACTTCTTTTCACATCCGGAAATATGAAATTCAGACTCATGTAACAAGCCAAGGTCCTGAAAGAATCACTAAGGAGATCCCGCATTTAGAGGCTCGTTTACTCCGAAATTTAGACAGAAATGGAATTGTGATGCTGGGATCTTGGATAGAAACAGGTGATATCTTAGTAGGTAAATTAACACCTCAGACAGCGAGCGAATCCTCATATGCCCCGGAGGATAGATTATTACGAGCTATACTTGGCATTCAGGTATCCACTTCAAAAGAAACTTCTCTAAGACTACCTATAGGGGGAAGGGGTCGAGTTATTGATGTGAGATGGATCCATAGAAGAGGGGTTTCCAATTCTAATCCAGAAAAGATTCGTGTATATATTTCACAGAAACGTGAAATCAAAGTAGGTGATAAAGTAGCTGGAAGGCATGGGAATAAGGGTATAATTTCTAAGATTTTGTCTAGACAAGATATGCCCTATTTGCAAGATGGAACGCCCGTTGATATGGTATTCAACCCATTAGGAGTCCCCTCACGAATGAATGTGGGACAGATATTTGAATGTTCACTCGGGTTAGCGGGGGATCTTCTAAAGAAACATTATAGAATAGGACCTTTTGATGAGAGATATGAGCAAGAGGCCTCAAGAAAACTAGTGTTTTCCGAATTATATGAAGCCAGTAAGAAAACAAAAAATCCATGGGTATTTGAACCCGAATATCCGGGAAAAAGCAGAATATTTGATGGAAGAACAGGAGATCTTTTTGAACAACCTGTTCTAATAGGAAAGTCCTATATCCTAAAATTAATCCATCAAGTTGATGATAAAATCCATGGACGTTCCAGTGGGCATTACGCACTTGTTACACAACAACCCCTTAGAGGGAGGGCCAAACAAGGGGGACAAAGAGTAGGGGAAATGGAAGTTTGGGCTCTAGAGGGATTTGGTGTTGCTCATATCTTACAAGAGATGCTTACTTACAAATCTGATCATATTAGAGCTCGTCAAGAAGTACTTGGTGCTATGATTATTGGGGCAACAGTACCTAACCCAGAGGGTGCTCCAGAATCTTTTCGATTGCTCGTTCGAGAACTACGATCTTTGTCCCTGGAACTGAATCATTTCCTTGTATCTGAAAAGAACTTCCAGATGGATAGGAAGGAAGCTTGATCTCAATGAATCAGAATTTCTATTCTATGATTGACCAGTATAAACATCAACAACTTCGAATTGGATCAGTTTCCCCTCAACAAATCAGGGCTTGGGCAAAAAAGATTCTACCCAATGGAGAGATAGTTGGAGAGGTGACAAAACCCTATACTTTTCATTATAAAACTAATAAACCGGAAAAAGATGGATTGTTTTGTGAAAGAATTTCTGGACCCATAAAAAGTGGGATTTGTGCTTGTGGAAATTACCGAGGAATTGGGACTGAAAAAGAAGACCCGAAATTTTGTGAAGAATGCGGGGTGGAATTTGTTGATTCTCGGATACGAAGGTACCAAATGGGATACATCAAACTGACATGTCCAGTGACTCATGTGTGGTATTTGAAACGTCTTCCTAGTTATATTGCGAATCTTTTAGATAAGCCCCTTAGGGAATTAGAGGGCCTAGTATATTGCGATGTGTGATTTGATCGAAATTTTCATTTGACAGATTTGGACTGAGAAACTGTCATCCCGTTTAATCTGATTGGGATGCCCCTGGCTCTGACATGTATCTTGGGAGGAGGAACATGAAGCTCAGAATTATGGGTGCATTCAAGATTTCAAAATGGAAGAAAAGGGGAGTTGATCCATGGTCGATTTCGTAACAGATAATATAGGAATAGTTAGTTATACCTCGTGAAAAAAGACTTTTTGTGGAATTATACATTCCATTTCTTTGAAAAAGAAATTATGTTCAGGCAAGCGTAAGTGAATATGGTTACGGGAGCTTATCTATCGCATATATGCTTCAAGGGATAATAACCATCGAGGTGAGTAGAGACCTAAAAAAGATCCAATGGAAAAATACAATATATAGACAAAGAAATCCTTTAAGAGTCCAAAAATATTCCTTTCAGGGGATTCATAATTTGAGGGGAAGTAGACTACTCAAGAATTTCACATTTCCTTTTTTTCGTTTTTTTGTAAACATAAAAGAAAGTCTAAAAGGTTAGAGTGAAAATCAAAAATCAAATAAGATAAGAATGAGGCTTGTCCTTACTGGGAACTTGAGTAAAGAGTAGCTTTTTGTAGGGTTTTCTCGAACAAAGTTTAAAACTAAGAAGAACCCATTTCTTTATTTGGTGTAACTACTTGAGCCGGATGAGAGGAAACCTTCACGTCCGATTGTGAGGGGGGGAATCCAATACTATAGGAACCTATCTCAATTTTTCTTTTGCTAGGTCCATAGCTAAAAAACCTACTTTTTTACGATTACGAGGTTCATTCGAATATGAAATCCAATCCTGGCAATACAGCATCCCACTCTTTTTTACTACTCAAGGTTTCGAGACATTTCGAAACCGAGAAATCTCTACGGGGGCAGGTGCTATCAGAGAACAATTAGCCGATTCGGATTTGCGAATTATTACAGATAATTCTTTGTTAGAATGGAAGGAATTAGGAGATGAAGAGTCCGCAGGAAATGAATGGGAAGAGAAAAAAATTCGAAGAAGAAAGGATTTTTTGGTTAGGCGCATAGAATTAGCTAAACATTTTCTTCGAACAAACGTAGATCCAGAATGGATGGTTTTGTGCCTATTACCAGTTCTTCCTCCTGAGTTGAGACCAATCATTCAGATAGATGGGGGTAAACTAATGAGTTCGGATATTAATGAACTCTATAGAAGAGTTATCTATCGGAACAATACTCTTACCGATCTATTAACAACAAGTAGATCTACACCAGGGGAATTAGTAATGTGTCAGGAGAAATTGGTACAAGAGGCCGTGGATACACTTTTTGATAATGGGATCCGCGGACAACCCATGAGAGATGGTCATAATAAAGTTTACAAGTCATTTTCCGATGTAATTGAAGGCAAAGAAGGAAGATTTCGTGAGACTCTGCTTGGTAAACGGGTCGATTATTCGGGGCGTTCTGTCATTGTCGTAGGTCCTTTGCTTTCATTACATCAATGTGGATTACCTCGAGAAATAGCAATAGAGCTCTTCCAAGCATTTGTAATTCGTGGTCTAATAAGACAAGATGTTGCTTCTAACACAGGGATTGCTAAAAGTAAAATTCGGGAAAAAGAACCCATTGTATGGGAAATCCTTCAAGAAGTGATGCAGGGGCATCCTGTATTGTTGAATAGAGCGCCCACCCTGCATAGATTAGGTATACAGGCGTTCCAACCCATTTTAGTGGAGGGGCGTGCTATTTGTTTACATCCCTTAGTTTGTAAGGGCTTCAACGCAGACTTTGATGGGGATCAAATGGCTGTTCACGTACCTTTATCTTTGGAAGCTCAAGCAGAAGCTCGTTTACTTATGTTTTCTCATATGAATCTCTTGTCTCCAGCTATTGGGGATCCCGTTTCCGTACCAACTCAAGATATGCTTATAGGACTCTATGTATTAACGATCGGGAATCCCCGAGGTATTTGTGCAAATAGGTATAATCAATCTAATTCTAATTGCAGAAACTATAAAAAGGAAAAAGTTAACAAGAATGACTTTAAGTATACAAAAGAGCTGTATTTTTCTAGTTCTTATGATGCACTTGGAGCTTATCGGCAGAAACGAATCCATTTAGATAGTCCTTTGTGGCTTCGGTGGAGACTAGATCAACGCGTCGTTGGCTCAAGAGAAGTTCCCATCGAAATTCAATATGAATCTTTTGGTAATTATAATGAGATTTATAAGCACTATCAAATAATAGGAAGTGTAAAAATAGAAATTTGTTGTATATACATTCGAACTACTGTTGGTCATATTTCTTTTTATCGAGAAATAGAAGAAGCCATACAGGGGTTTTGGCGGGCCTACTCATAGGCTATCTAACTCATGCTCTATATAAAAAATAATAAATTCTATTAGTGATGCCCATACTTGTGGGAATTCGGGTCTCTCTAATTTCATAGGTATCATAATTTCTGAATTTCTGTGTGAATCAAGATTGAGGAAAGGGAGTTTTCGAATCACTGACCCAGGTCCATTGTGGAATCTTACTCAGCAGAATATGGAGGTCCTTATGGCAGAACGGACCAATCTGGTCTTTCACAATAAGGTGATAGATGGAACTGCTATTAAACGACTTATTAGCAGATTAATAGATCATTTCGGAATGGCATATACGTCACATATCCTGGATCAAGTGAAGGCTTTGGGTTTACGGCGAGCCACTGCTACATCTATTTCATTAGGAATTGATGATCTTTTAACAATACCTTCTAAGAGATGGTTAGTTCAAGACGCTGAACAACAAAGTTTTCTTTTAGAGAAAAACCATCATTATGGGAATGTACATGTGGTAGAAAAATTACGTCAATCCATTGAGGTATGGTATGCTACAAGTGAATATTTGAGACAAGAAATGAATCCTAATTTTCAGATGACTGATCCCTCTAATCCAGTTCATCTAATGTCCTTTTCGGGGGCTAGAGGAAATGCATCTCAAGTACATCAATTAGTAGGTATGAGAGGATTAATGTCGGATCCTCAAGGACAAATGATTGATTTACCGATTCAAAGCAATTTACGGGAAGGGCTTTCTGTGACAGAATATATAATTTCTTGCTACGGAGCCCGCAAAGGAGTTGTAGATACTGCTGTACGAACATCAGATGCTGGATACCTCACGCGTAGACTTGTTGAAGTAGTTCAACATATTCTTGTACGTAGAACAGATTGTGGTACTATCCGAGGTATTTCCGTGAGTCCTCAAAATGGGATGACGGAAAAGATTTTTGTCCAAACACTAATTGGTCGTGTATTAGCAGACGATATATATATCGGTCTACGATGCATTGGTACTCGAAATAAAGATATTGGAATTGGACTTGTTAATCGATTCATCACCTTTCAAGCACACCCAATATATATTAGAACTCCTTTTACTTGCAGGAGTACATCTTGGATCTGTCAATTATGTTATGGCCGGAGTCCTACTCATGGTGACCTGGTCGAGTTGGGAGAAGCCGTAGGCATTATTGCGGGTCAATCAATTGGGGAACCGGGGACTCAACTAACATTAAGAACTTTTCATACTGGTGGAGTATTCACGGGTGGTACTGCCGAACATGTACGAGCTCCTTCTAATGGAAAAATAAAATTTGATGAGGGTTTGGTTCATCCCACACGTACCCGTCACGGGCATCCTGCTTTTCTATGTTTTATAGACTTGTATGTAACTATTGAGAGTCGGGATATTAGACATAATGTAAATATTCCAACAAAAAGTTTGATTTTAGTTCAAAATGATCAATATGTAGAATCAGAACAAGTGATTGCCGAGATTCGTGTCCAAACGTCCACCTTTCATTTTAAGGAGAGGGTTCAAAAACATATTTATTCTGAGTCAGAAGGAGAAATGCACTGGAGTACTGATGGCTATCATACGCCCAAATATCCATATAGTAATGTTCATCTATTACCAAAAACAAGTCATTTATGGATATTAGCAGGAGGTCTATGCAGATCCAATTCCAATATAGTGTCTTTTTCACTCCACAAGGATCAAGATCAAATGAATGCTAATTCATTTTTTCTCAAAGATCTCTTTGATCTCTCACTGACTAATGATCAAGTAAGACATAAATTGTTGGATACTTTTGGTAAAAAAGATAGGGAAAGTCTTGACTATTCAAAACCTTATCGAATCATATCTAAGGGTCATTGGAATCTCATAGAGCCTTCTACTTATATTCGTCAAGAGAATTCTTTGGCGAAAAAGCGAAGAAATAGATTTGTGATTCCCTTACAATATGATCAAGAACAAGAAAAGAAACTAATACCCTGTTTTGGTATTTCGATTAAAATACCTATAAATGGTATTTTACGTAGAAATAGTATTCTTGCTTATTTTGATGATCCGCGATACAGAAGAAGCAGTTCAGGAATTACTAAATATGGGATTGTCGAAGTAGATTCAATCGTAAAAAAAGAAGATTTGATTGAGTATCGAGGAGCAAAAGATTTTAGTCCGAAATACCAAATGCAAATGAAAGTAGATCAATTTTTTTTCATTCCCGAGGAAATACATATCTTACCCGGATCTTCGCCCATAATGGTCCGGAACAATAGTATCATTGGAGTAGATACACGACTTGTTTTAAATATAAATACAAGAAGTCGAGTAGGTGGATTAGTCCGAGTGGAGAGAAAAAAGAAAAGTATAGAACTGAAAATATTTTCTGGAGATATTCATTTTTATGGAGAGGTGGATAAAATATCTAGGCACAGTGGCATTTTGATACCACCAGGAATCGGAAAAAAAGATTCTAAAGGATCAAAAAAATTGAAAAATTGGATCTATGTCCAACGCATTACACCTACCAAAAAAAAGTATTTTGTTTTGGTTCGGCCCGTAGTCACATATGAAATAGCTGATGGGATAAATTTAGCAACACTTTTCTATCAGGATCTCTTGCAGGAAAAGAATAATGTCCAACTTCGAATTGTCAATTATATACTTTATGAAAATGGCAAGTCAATTCGAGGAATTTCTCACACAAGTATTCAATTAGTTCGAGCTTGCTTAGTATTGACTTGGGACCAAGAAAAAAAGAGTTCTATAGAAGAAAAGGTTCATGCTTCTTTTGTTGAAATAAGGACAAATGATCTGCTTTGTTATTTCATCCGAATTGAGTTAGTAAAGTCCACTCTTTCGTATACCGAAAAAAGGTATGATACGGCAGGTTCAGGATTGATTTCCAATAATGAATTAGATCGTATTCATAGAAAAAATCCTTTTGATTCCAAGGCGAAGATTCAAATATTTCCCCAACATCAGGGAACTCTTGGTACGTTGTTGAATCGAAATAAGGAATGCCAATCTTTCCTAATTTTGTCATCATCCAATTGTTCTCGAATTGGTCCCTTCAATACTTCGAGATATAATAATGCGACAAAAGAATTGGATCCCATGACTCCAATTAGGTATTTGTTGGGTCCTTTAGGTACTATTGTGCCTAGAATAGTAAATTCTCGTTCATCTTACTATTTAAGAACTTATAATCAAGTCTTTTTAAAGAAATCTTTTTTGCTTGAAAATTTTCAACAGACTTTCCAAGTGCTTCAAGTACCTCCATTTCAATACTGTTTCCTAGATGAAAATAGTAGGATTTATAATCCCGATCCTTGCAGTAACATCATTTGGAATTCATTCCATTTGAATTGGTGTTTTCTCCATCACGATTCTTGTGAAGAGGCATGGACAATAATTAGCCTTGGACAATTCCTTTGTGAAAATGTATATCTATTGAAATATGGATCACGCATAAAAAAATCTGGTCAAATTTTCATTGTTCATGTTGATTCTCTAGTTATAAGATCAGCTAAGCCCTATTTGGTCACTCCAGGAGCAACTGTCCATGGTCATTATGGGGAAACCTTTTATGAAGGAGATACATTAATTACATTTATATATGAAAAGTCGAGATCTGGTGACATAACGCAAGGTCTTCCAAAAGTAGAACAAATCTTAGAAGTTCGTTCAATTGATTCAATATCGATGAACCTCGAAAGAAGAGTTGAAGGTTGGGACGAACGTATCCGAAGGATTCTTGGGATCCCCTGGGGATTCTTGATTGGAGCTGAACTAACCATAGCCCAAAGTCGTATCTCTTTGGTTAATAAGATACAAAAGGTTTATCGATCCCAGGGGGTACAGATCCATAATAGACATCTAGAGATTATTGTACGTCAAGTAACATCAAGAGTTTTGGTTTCCGAAGATGGAATGTCTAATGTTTTTTTACCTGGGGAATTTATTGGATTGTTGCGAGCAGAACGAGCAGGGCGCGTTTTGGCCGAATCAATCTGTTATCGGGCAATCTTATTGGGAATAACGAAGTCATCTCTGAATACTCAAAGTTTCATATCCGAAGCAAGTTTTCAAGAAACTGCTCGAGTTTTAGCAAAAGCTGCTCTACGAGGTCGTATTGATTGGTTGAAAGGCCTGAAAGAAAACGTTGTTCTGGGGGGGATTATACCGGTTGGTACCGGATTCAATAAATTAGTACATCGTTCAAAGCAAGACAAAAACATTCATTTGAAAATCAAAAGGAAAAATCTATTCGAGTTGGAAATGAGCGATATTTTGCTACACCATAGAGAATTATTTTGTTCTTGTGCCCAAGAACTTTCCATGAGACATCAGACCAATCTTTTACGTAATGTATCCTAACAAGAGGTTTATTCTTTTTATTTTAACTCTCTGGTCCGATTATGGATTTCATAATCAATGAAATAAAAAAGAAAGAATGAAATTCATGGTTTGGGTCGTAGATCAATGGTCAATCCTGGTAGAAGGTTCCGTCGGAACAATTCTTTATTTCATAAGGTACTGAATCTATTTGAAAAAAAAAAATAAAAAGAGAAAGTGTGGGAAAATGGGAAGACGATATTGGAACATCAATTTGGAAGAAATGATGGAAGCAGGAATTCATTTTGGTCATGTTACTAAGAAATGGAATCCTAGAATGGCTCCTTACATCTCGTCAAAGCGTAAAGGTATTCATATTACAAATCTTACTATAACTGCTCGTTTTTTATCAGAAGCCTGCGATTTAGTTTTTGATGCAGCAAGTAGGGGAAAAAGATTCTTAATCGTTGGCACCAAAAAGAAAGCAGCGGATTTAGTAGCATCAGCAGCAATAAGGGCTCGATGTCATTATGTTAATAAAAAATGGCTTGGTGGTATGTTAACGAATTGGTCTACTACAGAAACAAGACTTCAGAAGTTCAGGGACTTAAGAGCAGAACAAAAGATGGGGAAACTCAATCGTCTCCCTAAAGGAGATGCAGCAATGTTGAAGAGAAAGTTATCTACTTTGCAAGCATATCTTGGCGGGATCAAATATATGACGGGATTGCCCGATATTGTAATTATCGTGGATCAGCAAGAAGAATATACGGTTCTTCGAGAATGTGTCATTTTGGGTATTCCGACGATTTGTTTAATCGATACAAATTGTGATCCAGATCTTGCAGATATTTCTATTCCGGCCAACGATGATGCTATCGCTTCGATTCGATTGATTCTTACCAAATTAGTATCTGCAATTTGTGAGGGTCATTCTAGTTATATAAAAAATGGTTGATTATCTTATCATTATTCTTAAGAAGAAGAAAGAAGAAGGTTAGTTTGTTTTTGGTGAACTCTCTTTGATTGTTACTCTTTTAGTTTGCATCTTTTGGAGTTTGAACTATGTTTTGACTATCAAATAATATTTAAAAGAAAAGATAAAAATGATTGGTATTTTTTTTATGTGATTTCTCGGTATCCGAAATATACGATTCATAACTTAACTTCATGAATGAATATAGGTGAATTGAGAAAGAGATGGTTGAATAAAAATAATCACTTTTTTGAAGTTCGATTTCTGTTAGAGGACAATATGAATGTTATACCATGTTCCATTAAAACACTCAAAGGGTTATACGATATATCAGGTGTAGAAGTAGGCCAACATTTATATTGGCAAATAGGAGGTTTACAAATTCATGCCCAAGTACTTATCACTTCTTGGGTTGTAATTGCTATCTTATTAGGTTCAGTCATCATAGCTGTTCGGAATCCGCAAACCATTCCGACCAACGGTCAGAATTTCTTTGAATATGTCCTTGAATTTATTCAAGACTTGAGCAAAACTCAGATTGGAGAGGAGTATGGTCCTTGGGTTCCTTTTATAGGAACGATGTTCCTATTTATTTTTGTTTCTAACTGGTCAGGTGCTCTTTTACCTTGGAAAATCATAAAATTACCTCATGGGGAGTTAGCTGCGCCCACGAATGATATAAATACTACTGTTGCTTTAGCTTTACCTACGTCAGTGGCATATTTCTATGCGGGTCTCAGGAAAAAAGGATTGGGATATTTCGGGAAATACATTCAACCAACTCCAATACTTTTACCAATTAATATTCTAGAAGATTTCACAAAACCTTTATCTCTTAGTTTTCGACTTTTCGGTAATATATTGGCTGATGAATTAGTGGTTGTTGTTCTTGTTTCTTTAGTGCCTTCAGTAGTTCCTATACCTGTCATGTTTCTTGGATTATTTACAAGTGGTATTCAAGCTCTTATTTTTGCAACTTTGGCCGCGGCTTATATAGGTGAATCCATGGAGGGTCATCATTGACTCACTTTCAAAATAGTCTTTTTTGAATCTTATCCCAATTCAAGCAATGCGGGGGTTCGGGGTTCAATATAATCCACTGGGTTGGAGAAGAGAATGCAAATAGCTACATGTATGTATATATGAATAAATATATATGATATTGCAGAATTTGGAAGATAAAGAAGGGTTGGAGATCATGTATATGTAATACCTATGAGTATCAATCTTTGTGTATGTTTTGAAGAATGGTTTCAGAATACAATTTAATAGAATAATAAAATGCAGGTGATTTACGTTATGAAAAAAAAGTATATGTTATTTACTAGTTAAATGGTAATTACCCCTATCTCTTTTTTTTCTAGCCCACTGCATTTAGATGGATTCCCATATAAGTCCTTTTTCTATTTTGTCTTTGATTGTGAATTGAATGAAAGAGAAAAAATAGAATAATTTATAAACAAGGAAACGCAATGACTAAAACCGTATACATATTTATTTACATAAGGTAGAAAGGAAAAACGGTCTATCAAAGTAGTTCTGACAATTCAGTAATATTCTGAATTGTCAGAACTACTTCGACCCGATATATTTTAGTGAAAAAGATCAAAAAATAAAAAAGAAGTGTAGTAAGGTAATAGAATATTAAAGTAGAAGTAGAAAAAATAGATTAAGTACTAATTCATTGGTTGGTTGTATCATTAACCATTTTTTTTTGTGCGAGGAACTTACCATGAATCCACTTATTTCTGCTGCTTCCGTTATTGCTGCTGGATTGGCTGTAGGGCTTGCTTCTATCGGACCTGGGGTTGGTCAAGGTACTGCTGCGGGCCAAGCCGTAGAAGGTATTGCGAGACAACCAGAAGCAGAGGGTAAAATACGAGGTACTTTATTGCTTAGTCTGGCTTTTATGGAAGCTTTAACAATTTATGGACTGGTCGTGGCATTAGCTCTTTTATTTGCAAATCCTTTTGTTTAATGTTTAATTTCATCGTAGAATAAAAATGTAAAAAAAAAAAGAATAAAAGCATAACCATAACTAATAAATTTGAGAATTCTCAAATTCCATTAATAATAATAAGCGGAGTGATACAAAAAGAACTCTGTTCTTTGTTAGTCCTATCTATAAGGGGAGAGCATATGAAAAATATAACCGATTCTTTTGTTTCCGTGGGGCACTGGCCATCCGCTGGGAGTTTCGAGTTTAATACCGATATTTTAGCAACAAATCCAATAAATCTAAGCGTAGTGCTGGGTGTATTGATTTTCTTTGGAAAGGGAGTGTGTGCGAGTTGTGTATTTCAAGAATACGTTGGATTTAACCGGCTGCACTTTCTTTATATTTATGTATTCTTTTTTATATTTCTTATAGTATAAATAGGAACAAAAGGTGCACAATCTCGACGAATTACTTCGGAATTGGATTTTATTCAGAAATCATATGTAAGAACCATAGCATTTCGTGACTAATTGGTAAATGAACTTTGATTCTCTTCTCTATCAACCAATAATGTTGAGGTCTTTTACATGGTTAAAGATAAATTGTTTGAAGTCCAGGCACAGCATAGCATGGTACTCTTTCTACCACTACGTTAGTACCAAAAAAAAGGGTTAAAAAATGAAAAAGAATACAAAGAAAAAAGGAAGAATTAGGAATTTATCCGATGTAGAACACTCATATGGATAAAATTATTTGAACCATTAACTGTAAAGATGGGTCCCCCTTTTTTATCCACTGCCGAATCGACGACCTATGTATTGTATTTGTATAAAATATTTGTATAAAAAAAATTTTTTGGATGAAAAAAATCGAAATCTCATTCTATTCTAATAATAATGAGAATGAAGTTCATAATTCTATTAAATTTTCTTTCTATTTTCTTAGGATTTTGATTTAATTTATCATAGCATATAAAGAAGAAAAAATTTTCTTCTTTTCTTCTTTAAAATCGTTTTCTTTTTGGAAAGAAGTTGTAAATAAAGAACAAATAAAGAAACAACTTTGCTGACAATTTTTTCTTTTTTGTCTGGTCTGAAGAGTCCTCCTAAGATTCTGATGTTAGATCAGTTTCGATATCTTTGAATAAGAACAGAAAAGAGAGGATAGGCTCATTCCGTTCAAAGATATGGGAATGCCCATTAATCAAAGAAAAGATAAAAGAAACAATTGAGCGTGAGAGCCAAATGAATTGAAAGATTCATGTTTGGTTCGGGAAGAGATATTATAGTTGTGAAATGAATGGAAAGATAATCTACTTTCATTAAATGATTTATTAGATAAGCGAAAACAGAGGATCTTGAGTACTATTCGAAATTCAGAAGAATTACGTAGAGGAGCCATTGAACAGCTCGAAAGAGCTCGGGTTAGATTACGCAAAGTAGAAATCGAAGCAGATGAGTATCGAACGAATGGATACTATGAGATAGAACGAGAAAAAGTAAATTTGATTAATGCTACTTGCAATAGTTTGGAACGATTAGAAAATTACAAAAATGAAACTCTTTTTTTTGAAAAACAAAGAGCAATTAATCAGGTCCGACAACAAGTTTTGCAACAAGCCTTACAACGAGCTCTAGGAACTTTGAATAGTTGTTTGAATATGGAATTACATTTTCGTACTATCAGTGCTAATATTGATATTCTCGGGTCTATGGAAGAAATAACTTATTAGCCTTTTTTACTCTAGTTTAGAGTTTAGGTATTATTTTTTACCTTTCCTTCCGAAAAATAAAAAAGAGATACTAATGGGAACCCTTCGAGCTGACGAAATTAGTAATATTATACGAGAACGTATTGAACAATATAATAGAGAAGTAAAGATTGTGAATACCGGTACCGTACTTCAAGTGGGCGATGGCATTGCTCGTATTCATGGTCTTGATGAAGTAATGGCAGGTGAATTAATAGAATTTGAAGAGGGTACCATAGGTATTGCTCTGAATTTGGAATCAAATAATGTTGGCGTTGTATTAATGGGTGATGGTTTAAAGATAAAAGAGGGAAGTTCTGTAAAAGCAACAGGAAGAATTGCTCAGATCCCTGTGAGCGAGGCTTTTTTGGGTCGTGTTATAAATGCTCTGGCTAAACCTATTGATGGGAGAGGTGAAATTTCATCTTCTGAATCTCGGTTAATTGAATCTCCTGCCCCAGGTATTATTTCGAGACGTTCCGTATATGAGCCCCTTCAAACGGGACTTATTGCTATTGATTCAATGATCCCTATAGGACGTGGGCAGCGAGAATTAATTATTGGAGACAGGCAGACTGGTAAAACAGCAGTAGCCACAGATACGATTCTCAATCAAAAAGGACAAAATGTGATATGTGTTTATGTAGCTATTGGTCAAAAAGCATCTTCTGTGGCTCAGGTAGTGACTACTTTCCAGGAAGGAGGGGCAATGGAATACACTATTGTGGTAGCCGAAACAGCAGATTCGCCTGCTACATTACAATATCTCGCTCCTTATACGGGAGCGGCTCTGGCCGAATATTTTATGTACCGTGAACGACATACTTCAATAATTTATGATGATCTTTCCAAACAGGCACAAGCTTATCGTCAAATGTCTCTTCTATTAAGAAGACCCCCTGGTCGTGAAGCTTATCCAGGAGATGTTTTTTATTTGCATTCACGACTTTTGGAAAGAGCCGCTAAATTAAGTTCCCGTTTAGGTGAAGGAAGTATGACTGCTTTACCAATAGTGGAGACTCAATCCGGAGACGTTTCGGCTTATATTCCTACTAATGTAATTTCTATTACAGATGGACAAATCTTCTTATCTGCCGATCTATTCAATGCTGGAATAAGGCCTGCTATTAATGTAGGTATTTCTGTTTCAAGAGTCGGATCGGCAGCTCAAATTAAAGCCATGAAACAAGTAGCTGGCAAATCAAAATTGGAACTAGCTCAATTTGCAGAATTAGAAGCCTTTGCACAATTTGCTTCTGATCTAGATAAAGCTACTCAGAATCAATTGGCAAGAGGTCAACGATTACGTGAGTTGCTCAAACAATCCCAATCAGACCCTCTCGCGGTAGAAGACCAGATAGCTACTATTTATACCGGAACAAATGGATATCTTGATGCGTTAGAAATTGGACAGGTAAAGAAATTTCTTGTTGGGTTACGTACCTACTTAACAAAGAAGAAACCTAAATTCCAAGAAATTCTATCTTCTACCAAGATATTCACCGAAGAAGCTGAAACCCTTTTGAGAGAAGCTATTCAGGAACAGATTGAACTCTTTCTACTTCAGGAACAAACATAAATGTAAATAACAAACATAAATGTAAATGGATCATTTTTATTATATTATTAATAAATAGAAATTAATAAATAGAAATCCTTAATAAATATTTCATAAATATTTCTGATTCGAATCATTCAAAAAGGGACCTTTATCCTTTCTAATTTCTCCTTTCTAAAATAAAGTTCCTTCTATATATCTATTCTCTATCTAGAATAGATATATAGAAATAAATTAGAGAAATAAATTGCGTCCAATAGGATTTGAACCTATACCAAAGGTTTAGAAGACCTCTGTCCTATCCATTAGACAATGGACGCCCTTTATTCATATTTTTTTTTCGCATTTTTTTTTGAAAAAAAAAAGATTATTTCATAAAAAGAAATAAGGATGCAGATCAAAAAGGATAATGCATCTGTATATCTGTATATGATATGAAGTCAAGGAATGAGTATATAGCGGAGCGGGTAGCGGGAATCGAACCCGCATCGTTAGCTTGGAAGGCTAGGGGTTATAGTCGACGTTGGTTGATCATTTTTAACATCTCTAATTCAAAACCGAACATGAGATTTTGGTTTCATTCGGCTCCTTTATGGAAGATCTATGTATTCCCATCAGAGAAAAAATGAGATCCATAACATCTATGTCAGCTTTTTTTACGAATGCATCTAAAGCTACTTGCTTTTTAGATGATCCCTATAGAATAGGGGATTTTATCAAATCTTTCTAGTCTAGTTACTTCGTTCCCTATTTCTTTTCTACTCGTGGGATCCTAAGGAAAATAATTTTGTTTCTACCGAGCTCAAATAAAAAGTCGAGGGTTCTAGTAAACCAAAACCATCATTTTATAGCTATTTTGGCTTCAATCCCCCTTTTTAAGCGCAAAAATTGAAGATTTAGTTACGATTGAAAGTTTTGTACTATTATCCATAGATCTTTTCTTCATACTCATTTAATTGGAAGAATTGAACCAATCAAAAAAATTATGCTTCTCGACTCCATAATACAATTTTTTTATGAAAATTATGATTGTCTTTTGGATAGAAATCGTGATAATGTATATTTTTTCCTCAAATGTGCTATTGAGGGATAAAGTATTAAATCTTTTTAAGAAATAAAGTTTTTGATCGGAATATGAAATATGAAAAAAAGGAAAGACCCCTTAACTTTTGAAGTTGTTAATAGAACGAATCACACTTTTACCACTAAACTATACCCGCTACATATTTATTATTGGATATAAAAGGGCCTTTTGTCTAACAAAGTAATTAGATGTAGTTAAGATAGTATCAGAATCATGAAAATTTCAGCATTAACACGTATTTTGTTCCACCGCGGGAAAACTTGGAAAAAAAAAAGAATAGGTAAATAGCAAAAAATTTAGTCAAATTTCAATAGTGTACTAAAGTTAAAAGTTAGAAGTATTTTATTTTTTGAAACCTCTCTTCATTTGAACCATTAGATTTTATGAATTTGGGTAAATTGGGCCTCAAACTTTCAAACTTGTCCTTTGCTTTGAACAAGTAATTTATTTAGAGTATCATTTTAGATTTTATAAATATGTGTGTTTTTTTTTTTTATATTCTTTCTCTTATCAGATATATTTTTTTCTTTTTAAATAGAAAATTTATAAAATTAGGAAATTCATTAATGGAAAACAAATTTCATTCTAAATAAAAATTAAAGTTCAGTATTATATTCATCTTAATAATTCCTTTAAGAAATCTTAATATTAATAAGAAAGAAGTATTAAGAAATAAAAAAAGAAAGACGAAAAACCTTAGTACTATAGAAAAATATTAGTACAATATTAGTATATACTATAAAGACTCTTACTAGTACTAGTAAGAGTACTAGAACACTTTTACTCTTTTTTACTATAAAGCTATAAAGATTAAATCTTCTAATTTAGACTCTAATTTACTATAATATACTAAATATACTGAGAATAGAAATAGAATCTCTAAGATTCAATTAGTAAAAATTAGTAAATATAAATTGAGTAAATATAAATAGTAAATATAAATATGTAAATATAAATATAAAGAATAAATATATATATATATAATATAATAATAATATAATATTATAATATAATATAATAATAATATATTATAAAATATAAAATTTATAATATAAAATTATAAAATTAAAATTATATAATATAAAATAAAAATAGAATATATAGAATATATTCATTCTATTAATTATTAATTTAGATATAGTTAGATATAGATAATAGATAATTTTTTTCAATAATTTAAGAATTTATAAGATAATCTATCTATTAGAATTTTATCTAATTTCTAATAATTAGGAATGGCAATGAAAATTCTTCTTCTCGTTTCAATAAAAATTTTTATTTGTCGGAACAAAAGAAGTACTGGCCCGGCCAGTATTTATACTTAACCAGGCCGGAGAAATGAAGTTTTTGTTTTGTACAAAATAAAAGAAGTAAGGTATTCTTTCTATTCGAGAAATCTTTTTTGAATCATTGAAGTAAAATCAAAATTGTTATCAATCTTGACTTCATGTGTTAAATCACATGATAAATTTCCAATTTGGAATGAGGAGAGATGGCTGAGTGGACTAAAGCGTCGGATTGCTAATCCGTTGTACGAATTATTCGTATCGAGGGTTCGAATCCCTCTCTCTCCGACCCCCCCGATAACTTGAGAATTTCTAATTGGAATAATTTTTGATTATTCTTTATTTATGAATCTTTTATCTTTATCTAACATCTATTCAATTTCTTTTCTTTATACATTTACCTATGAAAAATACCTATGAAAAAAGAAAGTAAAAAGTAAAAATGAATCTCATCTCTTTTTTTATTATTTTTATTCTTCACGCCCAGGATTACGCCCCGGATCGTTAGATAAGAATCCGAAGATGAATAGAGAAACAAAGAATATTACTACTGTGTAAACGAATAGTTTAAGAGTAAGCATTACAAATCTCCAAGATAAGATAAGATCATTTTTTTTAAGGAAATAGATCACCTATTTTACGACATATACTATCGCTCTAAAGATGAAAAAAAAAAGGAAGTTTTTTTGAAATTTATTTTCACGAATTTTTTCTAATGTAATAAGATTCGTATTTTTTGTTACCAAAAATTTCTTGCCATATTCATATCTATAATTAAGTAATTTTATGGGGTATGGGATCTTATAAAGGAAAGGTTAGAACAAAAGAAATAAGCTGATTAGCTTTTTAAAGAAAAGATAAAGATCATCGCCCCCTTCCCTTATTCAAATATTCAAATTAAAATTCAATATAAAATACCAGACTTTTTGAATCGAGGGTTCCTAATGTCCAGACTTATCTGAATCTTATTTATGATCTTATTGATTTTCTTCTGAAAATCTCATCTTTTTTTTATCAAATAAATTATGAATTGAATAGAGATTAGAGATTCAATTTTTATCGGAAACTTACAGCAGCTTGCCAAACAAAGGCTAAGAGAAAAAAGAGTACAGGGATAATTGGCATAACGTCTATGATTGGATTAAAAAAGGCATAAGCCTCGGGCAATTTGGCGAAGAAAAAACTACTCGAATAAAGGGTAGAATTAAGACAGATACAAATTAAACAAAAGATATTAAGCATAACAAATATTCTTTTCTTGTTCTTAAAGTTAAAGATTCAAATTAAATTGAAGAAGAAATTATCAGATTGGATTGAGTTGTTTTTATGAGGGAAAATTGAAAATAAAAAAGGCAGATAAAAGAAAGAAATTCTTATTTTTATTTGACTTCTCCCCAATCAAGAATCCTTCCTTACATTATCCAATCAAATAAGAATACAAGTAATTCTATTTTCATAGAATATCTTAATTGAATTCTAAGTAATGATCAATTAATATTTTTGATTCTATATCTATTCTGTTGAATCCTAGCGGCAACATGTCCTATATTTCTTTAGGTTGGTTATTGACGAATAACAAATATTTCTCTTAGTTTTTCTTAGACCAAAAATAAATGGGGCGTGGCCAAGCGGTAAGGCAACGGGTTTTGGTCCCGTTACTCGGAGGTTCGAATCCTTCCGTCCCAGATCGTTCGCATCAGAAACGAAAAATTCCTCTCGATTGAAATTGAAAATTGAATTCAACAATTCTTTTTTTATGATGGATATGGATGCGAAAAGATCGGAATCCTCGGATTCTGATTTTATCTTTGATTTTACCTTACACGAGACTTTTTATACTTTCTAATAATGAAAACAAAGAAACTTTATTCTCAAACTATCTCTCTGTTTTAAATTAAATGAAAATCAGATTCAATTGGAGATGGTAAAAAAAGTAAATCATAATATTCAAATCAGAAAATCATATTTCATAAATCTAAATAAAAAAATGAGAAAATAGGAATATATTAGGATATATTTATATTAGATATTAGAATATATTCATACATAAATACATAATTCTTCCATAAGAATCTATATTGTCTATTTGTAGATTTTTCTTATTAAGAATATCTTAATATTTCAGATTATCTTATTATTCTCTAATTGATTAGAATTAAATATTTAAATATTTAGTTAAATAAAAACTTTTATCCATTCATGGGAATTTCTTTTTCATCTGAATGAAAGTAAAGCCAAAGGATTTTTTTAGGTTTATAATCTTTTTTATTTTAAGAAAAAGAATTTATGATGGACAATCCTGAAAGATTTGTTTAAGATGTAAATAAGTTTGCTTAAAACTGATTTGTTTTTTTATGTGATATTATTCATATGAGAAAATATGAGGGTAAATTTTCAGTGAAATCCTTTCCGGGTATAGACTTAATCTATAAGTCTATAAGTGTAGATTCTTATGTATCGGTTCAACCAATGACTATTCATGATTCCATATTGAATCAATTGCATATGGTTCCAAATTAAAAGAAAATTATAGGGATGTTATGGTAAAACTTCGTTTGAAACGATGTGGTAGAAAGCAACGTGCGACTTGAAGGACATGATTGGCTGTGGATTCTGACATCCACCATCTTTTATACAAATGAAGATGCTCTTGGCTCGACATGATTTGTTCTGCTAGGAACCTGATTGAATTTGTTTTGGGTTGCTAAATAAAGATACTAAAAGATACTAATGGTATAAATGGTATATCTAAGGTATAGCATATGATGGAGCTCGAGGAAAAAGAATTGATTCTTTTATCGGAGTAATAATCTAGGGTTAGTGACAATCAATAAGTTAGATCAACTTTGTAAATATATCATCAATATCTAAATATAGATAAATGGATAGGTTCAAAATTGAACAAGTTTGAAATGAAAAAAAACCAAATTTGTCGAAAATTTCAAACTGTTTCGATCAAGAGTGTATCACAAAGGAATAAAATGATTTTTCCCTTTTTCATAGAAAGAACAAAAAGTATGTTGCTGCCTTTTTGAAAAGGAGTAAAGATCACCGAAGTAATGTCTAAACCTAATGATTTCAAAAAGCACAAAGCAAAGACAACAAATTCCGGAACAAGGAAACACTTTTTTAACTTGTCTCAACAATTGGATCAGAATGAGTAAAAAAAGATAGATCTGAAAATAGACAAAAAAAGAGGTTAGAGACAGCTCAAAAAATTTTAAGGATTTCCTTTTGAACTCTTTTAAAAATACCCAACTTGAGTTAGGAGTATAAATGAAATTTATTTTTCTGTAAAGAAGTAAAAAAAAGGATCAAAATTCAGTCTAATTATTTATAGATCAGATCCTTTTCTCTTTCTATTTCTATCTATATATTTCTATTTCTATCTATATAGATAGAAATAGAAATTATAGAAATTCAAATCATTTTTTCTTGAGCCGTATGAGGAAAAAACTTCCTATACGTTTCTAGGGGGGCATCTTTTATCTACATCTATCCCAATGAGCCATCTATCGAATCGTTGCAATTGATGTTCGATCCCGAAGAGAAGGAAGAGATCTTCAAAAAGTGGGTTTTTATGATCCGATAAAGAATCAAACTTATTCAAATGTTCCTGCTATCTTATATTTCCTTGAAAAAGGTGCTCAACCCACAGAAACTGTTTATGATATTTTAAGGAAGACAGAATTCTTTAAAGAATTTCGAATTTCTTTTGATAAAAAAAGAAAAGAAAAACAAGAATCATGAAGAAAAAAAGTATAGGATAATATAGTACCTATCTTTGTTTAATTCTTTATTCAAAATTCAAAGTTTTTTTTCTTGTTCTATTCATAATTATTTTATTCTTCTTTTTCTTATTTTTGTGGAACCCCCCAACAAGGGGGGTAATCTTTCTTCTTGTATTTGTATTGTATCTTTCTTTTTTTGATTAAAGAAAGCCACTATTTTTCTATATATACCTTTTTCTTATTCCTTTCCTTATTTTTTTCCACTCAAAGTTTTATTCTTTATGTTGTGCTAATCCAACACAAATTTCCATATAATTTATTGAATTTTGTTTTCTAAAAAGTCCATTCATATTGACAATGGCATATCAAACAAATATAATTTGATCGTATATAAATAGATCTTTTTATCCCCATTCCCTATTGGCTCTTTCCTTCATTTTAGTAAAATGGATGAGTTTGCTGAATTTTTTTTATTTCGATCGTATCTACACTTCATATTGATCCGGGTTGCTAACTCAATGGTAGAGTACTCGGCTTTTAATTGCGACTATGATCTTTTACACATTTGGATGAAGAAATTCGTCTAGACTATTGGTATAGTTTATAAGACCGCGACTGATCCTGAAAGGTAATGAATGGAAAAAAGAGCATGTCGTAATTAAAAATAGAAAAATTCTAGTACTCATAATATAAATAGAACAAGAATTTTTTTTAGAACATTTTTAAAGTTCAGTAAAGTATTTTTGGTCTAGTGAATAAATGGATAGAGCCTTATGGCTCCAATTCGAGTAAGACAAAAAAGCAACGAGCTTCCCTTCTTAATTTGAATGATTACCCGATCAAATTACTAATTATACGTTAAAAATATCTTAGTGCCTGATGTGGGAAAAGGGTCTCTTGTGAGACCATTGATTTTTTTTTTTATTAATCCTAATTATTATTTATTGTGGATTGGAGACGGATGTGTAGAAGAAAGAGTATAGTGATAAAAAATTATTATTTCCAAAGTCAAAAGAGTGATTGGGTTGCAAAAATAAAAGATTTTTAACCTTTTTTCTTATTGTTATTTTCTTTCTTTTATTATTATTCCTATCTTCCTAGTTCTATTTTCAAATTAACAAGGAAAAGAAAATCAAATTAGATAGAAAGGGAAAAGAAAAAGATCTGTAGATTGGGCTCTTTGTCTCCGGGGTATATATTCTTTTTTTGTTCTTATTTTTCTATAATTTTAGAATTTTTTACTTCTTAGATTCTTCTTATGATTTTTAATCACAGTACAGTCTAAAAGTTTAAAAAGTATAAAAAGTCTATAAAAAAGTCTATCTTCTTTTATATTATTTAAAATAGAAAAAATATAAAGTAAAAGTATAGACAGTGCATAGTATATAATAATACTAGACTATAATATTAGATTATTAGAATTATCTCTTAGAATAATTAGAAGAATAATAATTCTATTATTATAATTTATTATAATTTATTCTAGTTAGAATTTCTACTATTTTCTTATAAAGAGTATTTTACTATAAGAGAAAAAATAGACTATATACAACATACACACATACGCCGTTCTGACCATATTGCACTATGTATCATTTCATAACACAAGAAAAGCCTCTCTTTTTTGGTTAAAGTAGAAATGTATTGAAATAGCAGAATTACAAGGATATTTAGATTGAAAAAAGAGAGATTTTGGCAACAAAACTTCCTATATCCGCTACTCCTTCAGGAGTATATTTACTCACTTGCTCATTATCATAGCTTCAATAGTTTGATTTTTTATGAACCTGTGGAAATTATCAGTTATGACAATAAATCTAGTTTAGTACTTGTGAAACGTTTAATTACTCGAATGTATCAACAGAAATATTTGATTTCTTCGGTGAATGATTCTAACCAAAATGGATTTTCGCTGCACAAGAATTCTTTTTCTTATCATTTTTATTCTCAAATGGTATCAGAAGGTTTTGGAGTCATTCTGGAAATTTCATTCTCGTCGCGATTAGTATCCTCCCTTGAAGAAAAAAGAATACCAAAATCTCAGAATTTACGATCTATTCATTCAATATTTCCCTTTTTAGAGGATAAATTATCACATTTAAATTATGTGTCGGATCTACTAATACCCTATCCTATCCATATGGAAATCTTGGTTCAAATCCTTCAATGCTGGATCAAAGATGTTCCTTCTTTGCATTTATTGCGATTTATTTTCCACGAATATCATAATTTGAATAGTCTCATTACTTCAAAAAAATCCATTTACGTCTTTTCTAAAATAAAGAAAAGATTCTTTTGGTTCCTACATAATTTTTATGTATATGAATGCGAATATATATTCCTTTTTCTTCGTAAACAGTCTTCTTATTTACGATCAATATCTTCTGGAGTCTTTCTTGAGCGAACGCATTT